AAAATGTGCTAAGAGTGATCCGGCGCTTAGATGCCCAGACACCAAGCGATGTTGGGCGCTTAGCATAGAGACTTGGTCGGTACTTGTGAGCAACATGACCAGGGGTAGTGAGGCTAAATGTGGGGGCCAGCGCCATTAAAGCGGCGTGAGTTTTGCTGGCAAATGGATATCAGGAAATGGCTGTTAGACTTACTAAATACAGCAGGTAAAATGCCGCGACATTGTATTAAATAGTATAATTTCCCTATATTATCTTATTAACCTATTTATTCTCTTAAGGTATAATTAAATAAATCTATCTTTAGTTTAATTTCTTTTTTTAAGTTAAATATAATTAAGACTAATTTATTAAGGATAGCTTCCTTAAGCTATTTAAAGGCTTTTTATATTTTATTATTTTATATAAATATTTAGTCTTTCTTTATTAGCTTTATTAATAGGTTAGTAATTCTATTAAAGTTTTTAATAAATCTTTAGTAATAATTAATAAATCCTAAAAAGGCTTATATTTCTTTAATATTCTTTAAGGCTTTTTAATCTATTATTACTAAAATCTTTTTCTATTCTATCTAGATTTCTTTAGGTATAATAATATATCTTAAAAAATCTACTTTTTTAATATAAAAGAAGCTTTTTTTTAATTTAATTAATAGCTTAATATCTTATAATACTTTTAAGACTTTATAGATATATTTTTTATATTTTTCTTTACTATTTAAAAAGATTAAAATATTATTTAAATAGTATATAATAAAGATATTAAGGTATTATTAAAGTATATAATTAATTATCTACTAAAACATTATAGATATATTAATAAGACTAAAAGGCATAACTATATATTTATAAAATCTTAATTTAGTTCTAAATGCTATTTTTTATTTATCTCTTTTCTTAATATAAATAAGGTTATATACTTCTTTTAGGTCTAAAGCTATAAAGATCTATTTACCTTATAACCAATCCTTAAATTCTATAATAAATGGAAATAGGGTTTAGTCCTTAAAGGTATATATATTTAGCAGTTAGTAGTTAATTACTGGCTAGTCTTTTCTATTTTTCTTTAATATAAAGAATATTATTAAAGCTAATAATAAATTAAATATCTTAATATAACCTTTTTTTAGTATTTTATTAATATATTCCTTCTAGACTTATAGTTCTTTTTAATTTAATAAATATAGCTTTTATAGTAATAGCTTATTATCTATTAAGTTAATTTTATAATTCTATTAGCTATATTTTAGAATTTCTATTTTTAAGTCTTTATTAAATAGTTTATTATATATTTAGTATTATTTTAAAATATTTTTAAGTTAGTTTTATTTTAACTTTATTTTTATTTCTTTTTCTTTTTAAGAATTCTCTTTTTATAAAAGACTTAAGATTTTTATTTTATATTTTATGCCTTTTTTATATTTATATTATATTCCTTTTAGAGGCAGTAATTTCTTATTTTTGTATTTATTACTGCTTTTCTTTTTAATTAATATTTAAGATCTTTTATTACTCTTTATAATTATTTTATTATTACTATTAAGGTTACTTAAGAATATAATCTAGCCTATTTACTAGTTAATATATAGGTTTTATTATTTAAATTAATTTATTTTTAAAATAATATCTATCTTCTTTTCTAAAAGTATAATATTAAAACTAATTACTTAATATTTTTTTTTAATATAAACCTTAAAGTAATTAATTTCTTAATTAATAATACTATTATTATAATTAAAGAATTATCTTTTTATATTTACTAAATAGTAGGTTTATTATTTCTTTTTCTATAATAATTTTAGCTTTATAACTATTTTTAAGTTAATAAAGTTTTTCTTTACTTTACTATTAATTTAAGTATTTAGCTATTTCCTTTTAATTTAAGCTTATAGTATTAGGCAATTAAGTCTATTATTTTATATAGCTCTTAAAGCTCTTATAGGTTTAAATTATTTTTATTTTTAGCTTTTACTTTTCTATAGCTTTATTATTATGAAAGGTATATTTCTTTTCTTAAGGTATTTTAATAGGTTTATTTATAATTACTATTATAATAACCTTTACTATTAATATAATTATTAAGAAATTTATTATTAAATATTTACTATTAATAATAGTCTTTTAATTTCTTATACTATTTTTTAACTGTTTTTAGTTATAATTTATATAGTTATAACTCTATTATCTGCTTTTTATATAGATAATCTATACTTCTTAGGTATAAGTTATAATATACTTTTAGGTCTATATATCCCCTAATATATTTAGCTTTCTTAAGTATAATATATTCTTTTATAAGTTTTATTTTATATTTATTATACTCTTTTTAGACTTCTTTTTATTTTTAAGTAAATTTATTTCTATTATTATAAGGTATATTAAAGAATTCTTTTAATTCTTTTAGTATTTTATTTTATATTTCTAATTGCTTTATTACTTCCTTTAATCCTTTTAAACTGGTATTATTAATAGACTATTTATTACTATTATTTATATATTATTAATTAAATTCTTTTTTTATTAAGGTAATATCTTAAATTATTTATTAAAGTTCTACTTATATATTTTTATCTTTTTAAATTTCTCTATCATAGGCTATATAAAATTAAAGTTCTAATACTTTAAGGTTTTTATATTATATACTTAATAGGTATCTCTCTATTTCCTCCTTTTAATATAGCTTATTATTAAGTATATTTAAAATTATAATAAAAAAGCAGTTATTATTTTCTTTTTTCTACCTATACTTTATA